GTACCCCATAACCAGTTAGTATGGTACATTTATTACAGTTAATAAATCAATATTTATACATTATTATTCACTGAAGTCCATAGTTTATTCAGATTTCCTTAGTTTTTGCCAAATGTCTTTTTTTCTGTTCCACAATCTCATCCAGAATATCACACTACATTTGGTTGTCATGTCTCCTTAGACTCCTCTTGGCTGTGACAGTTTCTCACAGTTTCCTTGTTTTTGATGACCTTGACAGTTTTGAGGAGTACTGGTCAGGTATTTTGTAGAATGTCTTTCTATTGGGATTTGTCTGATGTTTTCTCTTGATTAGACTGGGGTTATGGGTTTCTGGGTTTCTGGGAGAGAGGTAAAGTGCTATTTTCATTACATCATACTGAGGGTACATACTATCAACATGAATTATCACTATTGATGTAGACCTTGATCATCCAGCTGGGGTAGTGTTTGTCAGGTTTCTTCACTGTAAAGTTACTCTCCACTCCCTCTATACTGTATGCTTTGTAAGGAAGTAACTATATGCAGGTTATGCTTAAGGAGTGAGGAGTTATGCTTCACCTTCTTGAGAGTGGAGTATCCACATAAATTGTTTTGAATTCTTGTTCAGGGGAAATTTAACTCTTCTCTTCTATTTATTTATTTATTCAATCATTTATTTATGCCAGTATGGACTCATGGATATTTATTTATTCTTTGGCACATGACCATTCTTGAGAATCCATTTGTATTTATCCATATTTTTGCTTACCCTGTTTTTTTCTTCCTTCTTGATATTCCAAGTTTCCTTCTTTTATAATTTCCTTTCTGTTTAGAAAATTTTCTTTAGCCATTCCTTTAAAGTAGATCTGCTGGTGGACAATTCTCTTAGTTTTCCTTCATCTTGATTTTTCCTTCACTCCTGAAGTATATTCTCTGTGGGTGTAGGATTCTGGGTTGACAGTTCTCTTCTTTCAGCACTTGAAAAATATTCCTTGTGGCTTCCATGGTTTCTGATCAGAAATCTACTGTCATTCAAATTGTTTTTCCCTATGGATAAGCTGTCATTTTTCTCTGGCTGCTTTCAAGAGTTTTTCTTCTGTCTTTACTTTTCAGAAGCTTAATTATGATGTGTCTTGGTGTGGATTTTTTTAGTTTATCCTGCTTGGGGTTTGCTCAGCTTCTTGAATCTGTACATTTATGTCTCTTGCCCAAGTTGGGAAGTTTTCAGCCCCACTCTCTTTTTCTCCTTCTGAGATTCCTGTGACATAAATATTAGATCTTTTGTAATAGTTCCTGTGGTGCAATGAATTGCTTTCATATGGCCTTTCTTGCCACTATCTTGTGACTCCTACAAAATGATTGGGTGAGACTATGCAAATAAGGTGCTTGTGGCACATCAAGGGGATCGAACAGCATTGCTAATAACGCTAATAAGGTACATGTCATCCTTGTGGAGGTGAGACCATGCAAATAAGGTGTTTGGAACCATAATGAGAGGGTTGGTCAGTTTTGCCATCCTGCTGGGCTTAAAAGAGAACCAATCCCAGAGCAGAGGGGGGACTTCAAACCCATCAAGAAAGAAGAGCTGGGAGTGGAGTGTGTCCTTTTGTCCCAGGGTCACTGTGCTGAGAACATCCTAGACCCAGGACACAGAGAGAGAGCTGTAACACCTGAGATGGCCTGAGATGGTGAAAAGCAAGACAGCAAGAAGAGGCAGCAGAGAAACGTTGGCAGCAGAACCAGGAGATTGATGTGCGATGGCTGCAGTGTGCTTCCCAGTCCACTGATCAAGGGAGCCACAGTGGGTTTGCCAACCCATGAAGAGAGGGAGCTGAGCGCATTTGGACAGGAGGCTTGCTGGCAGAGTGGGGTGCCTCTGTGCATTTATCAGCAGAGCTAAAAGAGCTTTTGAACACTTTCTTGAGCAGGGCAGAGGCCAGGCCTGAGCAGGGCCAAGGGCAGAGGGCCAAGAGAGGAGACCTGTCCTGAGGGGGCTGAGAGAAGCCTGTCATCAGGGTGCTGAGCAGAGCCCTGCACGGCCAAGAAGAGCTGAGAGAGCTGTTCTGCACTAAAGAAGAGAGACTTTGCCTGCATGCTTCCTGATCCTGATCCTGAGTTGTAACCTTTTACTTCCCTAATAAATCCCATAATTGTGAGTACTGTCTGTGAGTTCTGTGTGGCCATTGCTACAAATTATCAAACCCAGCAGAGAAGTAGAGAGTGCTGTGGGAGGGATGACTGGTGTCAGAATTGGTAAAAAGGTTGGAGAGGAGGTATGTCTGACCTCTACCTCATAGGAAACTGCCTTGGGCTGATGCTGATAATTTTCCCCCCTCATTAAGTTAGACAAGGTCAGATGCTGCCGTGGTGCCATTTTTACAGTTCCACACAAAACTATTGTTCTTTTTTTTTTCAATAGTCTATTTTCTCTCCATGGTTCAAATTGGGTGATTTCTATTGTTCTATCTTCCAGTTCACTGATTCTTTCCTCTCTACTCCCCATTCTGCTGTTGAGACCATCCACTAAGCTTTTTATTTCATTTATAGTATTTTTTCAGTTCTAAAATTTCCATTTGGTTTCCTTTATATCTTCTATTTCTTCACTGAGGCTTTCTGTTTTTTCTTTTGTTTCAAGTGGGTTTCTAATTGCTCATTGAAGCATTTTTGACATGGCTGCTTGAAAATATTTGTCAGATAATTCTAACATTTTTTTCTTAGTGTTGACATCTTAGTGTTGATTGTCTTTTTTCATTCAGTTTGAGATTTTCTTGGGTTGCTATGATGCATGATTGTCTATTGAAACCTGGACATTTTTATATTATGTTATGAGACTCTGGATCTTATTTAAACCTTTTGTTTTAACTGGCTTTCTTTGACATTGCTATGGCAGAGGAAGAGGGGGAGCAACCTCATTACTACCTGGTTGAAAAAGAAGTCCAGATTCCTCTCTTGGCCTCTGTTATGGATTGAATTGTGTCCCCTAAAAATGTGTATCAATTTGGCTAGGCCATGATTCCCAGTATTATGTTATTGTCCACCATTTTGTCATCTGATGTGATTTTCCTGTGTGTTGTAAATCCTACCTCTATGATGTTAATAAGGCAGGATTAGAGGCAGTTATATTAATTAGTCAGGACTCAGTCTACAAGATTAGGTTGTATCTTGAGTCAATCTCTTTTGAGATATAAAAGAGAAGTGAGCAGAGAGACGGGGGACCTCTTACCGTGAAGAATGCAGAACTAGGAGGCGAGTGCATCTTTTGGACCCGAGGTCCCTGCACTGAGAAGCTCCTAGGACAGGGGAAGACTGGTGACAAAGACCTTCCCCCAGAGCCAACAGAGAGAGAAAATCTTCCCCTGGAGCTGGCACCATGAATTTGGATTTCTAGCTTCCTGAAGTGTGAGAGAATAAACTTTTGTTTGTTAAAGCCATCCACTTGTGGTATTTCTGTTATAGCAGCACCAGATGACTAAGACAGCCTCCACTGACAGGAGGAGGGGAGTGTTCCTTGTTACTGCTGGGCAAAACACCACCTGCGAAGTGTTCTTGCCAAAAAATTTAATGTGTGCTTGATTAAGCTTCTGGATGTAACCACCAATTTATAAGAGATACAGAGGACAGAAGAACATGGTAAATGACAGCATGGAGTAGCCAGCCTCTATTCAGCATGTGCAAAACTTAATAGGACAATTGCCTGGTTTCTTCAACCAATCAATTGCAAGAGAAAAAAGAGAGAGAAGAAATGTATAAATTAAAAGAGATTTAAGGGACCAATGCAATGCATGAATTTTTATTTTGATTCTGATTCAAATAAACCAAATGTAAAAATAATATTATGAGACAATTGGGGAAATTTGAACACTGACTGGATATTTATTGTAATGGAATAATTAATTTTTTTATTTTTAAGGAATGATAATGGCAATGTGGATATGTTTTAAAAAGGGTCATTGTATTTTTGGAGTTATATACTAAAGCAATTACAGATTTAATGATGCAATGTCTCAGATTTGCTGCAAAATAATACCGTGGGAGGGGAGGTTTAGGGATGTAGATAAAACAAAATTGACCATGAATTTTTGAACCTGGATGGGGCATATGGGGTTCGTTACATAATTATTCCACTTTTATACACGTTTAAATTTTCATAATAAAAATAAAATATTAAAAATAAGAATTGAAAATCAAATAATGATAAATCTAGTAAACTTACAAAATACAAAATATATTTACAAAAATGCATTTCATGCTGTTTTCTTACTTGTGACCCATAACCCATTGCTGTCTAGTTGATTCCGACTCATAGTGACTCTATAGGACAGATTAGAACTGCCCCATAGGGTTTCCAAGGCTGTAAATCTTTATGGAAGCAAACTGCCACATCTTTCTCCCATGGAATGGCTGGTGGGTTCAAACTGCCAACCTCTCGGTTAGTAGCTGAGCGCTTAACCACTGTGCCACCAGGGCTCCTTGTGGCCCATAGGAAGCCCTTATTCAAGAATGTATTGAGTATTAGAAGACATAGATAGAAGAAAAAAGAGTCTAAAGGAGAACATAAGGAAGAAAACTTACATGAAAAAATATCTCCTTTACTGTAAAATACGTTTCTAAGAAGAATGAAAGTCTTAAGTCTAGAGATTTCACTTTAAAAGCTAAAAAAGAAAAAACCACTCTGTTGCTGTTAATCAAAATAAACAAAGAATCATCTACATGAGTCTGTAGCAATAATATTCATGAAATCATGAGTTTTACATGATAATGATTTTTCTAATACCCATTAAAATAAGTTCATAAGTATTAAAGCATTAAAATTAATATAGATCACCAAAAGCATTCCCTGGGCCACCTAGAGTAGAGACTGAAGGAAGGCCACCCAGATAGCACCTGGCACTGGGAAACACTAGACAAGAGTGTCCCAGAGTCCCTGTCAACCCTAATACTCTGCAATTTAGAGTCTGACACCAGGAGTGTTCAATTCATAGTGTGTTTTTCTCCCTGGATGGGGAAGAAAGAACCCTTACCTGGTGTACAGAAGTGGGAGGCTTGGTTGCTCAGAATCTTAGTCCCATCAGAATATTTCCAGCTGAAGAGCATGAACTTCTTATGGGAAGTTTTGCAGGCTAGCTCCACCATCTTGCCTTCTTCACCCAGTATCACTTCTTTTCCCTGAGTGACTGCTAGGAGCAGCACTAGGTGGAAAAGAAGGGGTCAGGCCTCAATGCTGCTGCCCCCCCCCCCAACTCCCACCTTTGCACCTCCCAGCCAGCTCCTCCTCCCAGGCCTTCTGCACCCTAACCCCAAATCTGAGTACTCACCCAGTTGCAGCACCAGGAGCAGGTGCCTAAAAGAGGCTCCCCGGTTTGTTGTAGCCTTGCCGAGGTGCGCAGGGACCTGAGCCATCCCTGCAGAAAGGGTAGGGCCTGAGGAAGATACAATTGTTAGTCAGCAGGCATACACTGAACTGGGGCATACAAAGATTATATTCATGCCTTCAGACTCCTTACAGTCAATCCAGGGAACTAGATGTGCATACCCAGAAGCAGACGCCCTGCAGTAATTGCCACAAAATGCCCTGCTTGGGTGGGAGTGGGTTCTCTACCAGTTGAGATCAGAAAAGGATTCATGGAGAAGGTGGCAAACTGGTAGGGACTGAGGTCAGAGAGCCAGGCCAGGACATGAAGGTCCTTGAATGTTGTGCTAAGATGCTGGGACTTGGCCCTGGGCATTAGGGAGCCATTAAAGGTTTCTGTGTAGAGAAGAACATGATTAGATTTGCAACATGGATCCCTCCAGCTGTTGTGGGAAGGTGAATGGGAGAAGACAGGAGTGCAACTATCCAGGTGAGACAAGATGAGGTCTGAAGTATAGTAGCTGTGGGAATGTGGGAAAAGAGACTGATTTGAGGGACAGTTTTGAAGTAAAATTCTCAGGAGTGGGGGGTGCAGGAGAGAAAGAGCAAAAGGTAATTTCTTGTTCAATATCGGAGTGACCCTATAAGGCCCCTGAGTGGGACAAGCAGAAAGATGCAGCTTCAGAGTTTAGAAGAAAGAGCAGTTTCTATGGGCTTGGAAGACAGTCAAGGCCGGGGCTGGTGGTGCGGGAAGGCTCTGACTAGACCCTGAGGAATGGACAGCATTGGGTTAGAGTAGTGATTCTCAAGGTGTGGTGTGGGATCATTAGCACCATTACCTGGAAATGTATTAGAAATGCAAATTGTCGGGCTCTACCCCAGTCCTACAGAATCAAAAACTGGGAGTGGGTCTAGCCATCTGTGTCTAAGCAAGCCTCCAGGTGACTGACGCATGCTCAAGTTTGAAAATCGCAAGTTATGTGGAAAGGAAAGGGGAGGGGTATTTCCTCCCCACGGCATGTGAGGAAGGTTGGGAGTACAGACAGCGCTATTGGAGGCAAGTAGTGGGAGATGACGTGGGAAAGGCATTTGGGGCCTGATTGTAAATCTTCACAGACAAACTAGAGAGCTGGGGCTTTAGTTTCTTGTGACTGGGAGCCGCTGCAGATTTTTGAGCAGAGAAGTGACAAGGTCAATAGATGTAGAGTTTTAGGAAGCTTGATGTGGTGACTGGAGGCCAGATGACAGGGAGGAAGTATAGACAAGAGGAAGGCCATCCAGATAGTACCTTGAAGATTTAGGGCAGAAGTGTCTTTGAACTCCAGGCCCAGGCTATAAGTGGGCCTCAGAGAGGTGGCTGCATGGGAAGTGAGGAGGTAGGCCAGGGTGGACCCAGTCCACCACTTGAAAAGATGAGATCCCACACCCAGACTTTTCTCTCCCTCAAGCCTAGTTTTTCTCTCCCCTGGAGGCCACCCTGATAATCTGAGCTCTGCAGTGATCCAACCTCTCTAAACTCCCATAGCACTCTGGTGGCACCAGCTTGGGCATGCCCCATCTTCTACCTTATGCTGCAATGATGTGAGCTCCCATTTCTCCCCCACCAGCCCAAGTTCCTTGAGGACAGGAATGATGATCCAGTTAGGTTTGCAGCTGCTGCAGGCCTGGTACCAGCTGCAGCACAGACAAAACAAAAACCAACCAGTTGGATGCAGTGAGCACAGCACAACCAAAGTAATAATGAGCGTTTGAGCACATATGGATGGGTATAAGCAAAATGGTATATGGGTAGGTAAAGATGTGTACATAGGTGAGAACAGATAGAAGTATATATACCAAAAAAAAAATCCCTTGCCATAGAGTCAATTCTGACTCATAGTGGCCCTATAGGACACAGTAGAACTGCCCCATAGAGTTTCCAAGGAGCAGCTGGTGGATTTGAACTGCCGACCTTTTGGTTAGCAGCTAAGCTCTTAACCACTGTACCATCAGGGCTCCAGAAGTATCTATAGATATGTGTAAATACAGACATGCGGGTGCAGGCACATATATTCATTGAAGGCACAAATATGGATACTCCTTAGACAAAATCAAACACCTTCCAACATTGGTTTTATGGGTTTGAAGGCTTAGGACCATAGACTCATGGGACATCTCAGTTAATTGGCATAACATAGTTCACAAAAATAGTAATCTGCATCCTGGTGAAGTGAGTAGCCTCTGGGATCTTAAAAGCTTGCCATCAGCCATCTAAGACACAACTAAGGATCTCCACTCGCCAGGAGCAAAACAGTAAGAAGGTTAACTAAAAGCGCAGAGAAGAAACAAATCTACAAGAGCCACCACTCATCTACCCTGAGACCAGAAGAACTAGATGGTGTCCAGCTACCACCACTGACCGTTTTGACCAGAATCACAATAGTTGGTCCCAGATAGAATGGGAGAAAAATATGGAGCAGAACTCAAATTCTTATTTAAAAAAGAAAGAAAGAAAGAAGTCAGACAAACTGGAACAGTAGAGAACAGAGGACCCCTTGAAACTATCACCCTAGAACCAAGCTTATCCCCTAAGATCAGCTTTTAGTGAAATACCAAAGTGACACACAAACTAAAGGTTATCACCCATAAGATTGGTGCATTACTTAAAAACCATCAGTATGAGACCAAAAGGTCAACAATTTCTCAAAAGCAAAGATGAAAAGATAAGAGGGCAGGGACACTACAGTACTGGAAAGGGAACAAAAAGAACACAAACAGAATGTTGACACATTGTGATAAATGTAAGTAAAGTACAGGAACCTAACTTGCTGTGTAAACTTTCACCAAAAACTCAATAAAATACTATTTAAAAAACAAACAAAAACCAGTTGTCATCAAGTCAATTCCAACTCATGGCAACCCCATGTGTGTCAGAGTAGAGCTGTGCTCCATAGAGTTTTCCTTTTTTCTTTCTTTTTATTGTGCTTTAGGTGAAAGTTTACAGAGTGAATTAGTTTCCCATCTGATAGTTTGTACATAAAGTGTTCCGTGACATTAGCTGCATTCCCCGCAATGTGTCAGCATTCTTCTCATTTCCACACTGGGTTCCCTGTTTCCTTTCGTCTGGATTTTCTGCTCTCCCTGCCTTCTCATCTTTGCTTTTGGATAAATGTTGTCCTCTTGATCTCGTATATTAGGAATATGTTCCTCTCAGATATTATTGTTTATTGTATGGACCTGTCTACTGTTTGGCTGAAAGGTGGTCTCCATGAATGGCTTCAGTTCCAGGTCAGAAAATTGTCTTACGGCCATAGTCTGGGGTGTTCCTCCAGTCTCTGTCAGACCAGTAAGTCTGGTCTTTTTGTGAATTTGAATTTTTGTTCTACACTTTTCTCCCACTCTGTCCAGGACCCTCTGTTTGATTCCAGTCAGAGCAGTTGGTAGTGGTAGCTGGGCACCATCTAGTTCTTCTGGTGTCAGGGTCATGTAGGCTGTAGTTCATGAGGTCCATTAGTCCTTTGGACTAATTGCTCCCTTGAGTCTTGGGTTTTCTTCACTCTCCCTTGCTCTGGATGGGCAGAGACCAATAGTTGTATCTCAGATGGCCATTCACAAACATTTAAGACTCCAGGTGCTACTCAACCAAAGTAAGATGCAGAACATTGTCTTTATAAACTGTGTTGTGCCAATTAATGTAGATGTCCCCCAAGTCTATGGTCCTTCACCCTCATGTCCATAGGGTTTTCAATGGCTGCTTTTTTAAAGTAGATCACCAGGTCTTTCTTCTGAGGCACCTTTGGATGGACTTGAACCTCCAACCTTTTGGTTATCAGCTGAGTGTGTTAACCATTTGCACCATCCAGGAAGTCCAGAGCACAGAGAAGGGATACTTAAATGGGTCTTTTAAGTATGCGATTTCTTCAAACCAAATTGAATGCACGTCATCTACCCTGAGCCCTGGTGGCATAGTGGTTAAAGTGATTCACTGCTAACCCAGAGATCAGCAGTTCGAACCCACCAGCCATACTATGGGAGAAAGATGTGACAGTCTGCTTCCATAAAGATTACAGCCTTGGAAACCCGTGGCGCAGTTCTACTCTGTCCTATAGGGTTGCTATGAGTCAGAATTGACTCGATGGCAATGGGTTTGGGTTTTTTTTTTTTTTTTTTTTGTACTCTGAGACCAGAAGAACTAGATGATGCCCAGCTAGCACTACCTACTGTTCTAATCAGGGCCACTATAGATGGACCCTTATGAATGGGAGACAAACGTGGAACAGAATGCAAATTCTTAAAATTTGAGTTAAGACTGAGGACTCTTTGAGACGATCACCCTGAGATACTCTTTAAACCTTGAATCAAAACTATCCCTTGAGGTCACCTTTTAGCAAAATAACGGATTAGCACACAAAATAAAGGATATTATCCTTGAGTATGGTGCTCCATTAAAAAACTTTCTATCATGCTGAGTGAAATAAGTCAATCACAAAAGGACAAATATGGTATGAGACCTCTATTGTAAAAACCCATGAAAAAGTTCACACACAAAATGTAACAATCTTTGTTGGTTACCAGGGATGGGAGGGGTGGGGGGAAATACTAAATAGGCAATAGATAAGTTGTATCTTGGGTGAAGGGTGAGACAGTACACAATACAGGGGAAACTAGCACAGCTTGTACAAGGAAAGGTCATGGAAGTCCCATAGACACATTCAAACTCCCTGAGGGACTGAATTGCTGGGTGGAAGGCTGTGGGGACCATGGTCTCGGGGAACATCTAGCTCAATTAGCATAACACAGTTTATAAAGACAATACTGGCTCTACATTCTACCTTGGTGAGTAGTGTCTGGGGTCTTAAAAGCCTGTGAGCGGCCATCTAAGATACCCCACTGGTCTCATCCCTTTGGGAGCAAGGGAGAAT